ACATGTTTAGTCTGAGTCAGTAATTAATTAGTTTTGTACTATTTAAGAAGAGCTTAAACATTAATGATGCAATCTATGTTAGCTTCTTATTCTGTACTTGTATGGTAATTATATTAATTTGATTTTGATTAATTATTGTTAATTTATTATTCGTGATTTTGATTAATTTTTCTGAACAACGTGAAATTCTGATTGTTTAATAAGGTTCGATGAGGATATTTGGACAGAGATTGCAAAGTTTCTCGATGGAAAATCTCTGATAATGCTTGCGGCTACGAGCCGATGGTTTCGCCGTGCTATCATGGATGACGGTATTTGGAAGTTTGTTTGCCTGCGTGACCTTCAAGTTCCATCACCACCGCGTGTGGCATTCAAGTGGAGCGAGCTCTACACTTCTGCCTTTGGTAAATAACATCTAAGCCTTCATCAATGTTCATGAGTGGTATTGGCACTGTCTGATTGACACTTATTTTGAATTTGATGTTTCAGATGGAAGTCATTCCTATAAGTTCCGTCAGCAGGAGAAGCACATTGGTGAGTTGGCTCACTGGTTGTCACACTAGTAGTACTTTTTTGCATACGGTATCGCTAACCTAATATCTTTTGAGATTCACAATAAATTTTAATAGATTCAACCCGCAGTTATGGAAATGAAATTGATGCAGTAAGTGGCCGCACAGTTAATGCTCTTGATCATTGATGAATATAGCACAATTGAGATTTTGATATTTGTCCTAGTATGCGAGCCATTCAATCTTTTAATAAGTTTTTTAGATTGATAGGGATTATTGATTTTGCCCTAAATCTTGGTTCCATTAATTATATGTACATAGCAAACCCTATTATTTAATGAAAAGTTCAATATGAGTGTATTTTCTTCTTTTGTACATAGCAAACCATATAATGCAAATTCATCATCTAGAGTTTATCCAACAACTGACTGATTCATTCTTAATACAAATTGTTGAACTAGAGCAATGTCTACATAAGTGAAATGTATTACAGGCATTTTGTGCAGCTTTAAATTTTTGATGTTGTAACTCTTTGAAATATGTTCTACCAGATTGGATGCGTATAGGTGCTTTTTACTTTGACTCTTCAGAAGCCCTCCTGACAGAGAGACTGACTTATCCGGGGGAGTTAAAGAAAGAAGAAAGTATGGAAAAGATGTTGCGGTCTCACGGTTGCTGCTTTCTAGACAACATTAAACCTGGAATCTGGATAGCTGGTACTCACATGTTTTCTTTGACTATAGAATTATCATTGAAATCAATTAATTTAGCATATGATCTAAGTATTCAATTAAATAAAATTTTATTTGCTTAAATATCAGATCTGCAGCTTGTGCGGTGCCCGGTCTGTGACCTCAATACATGCGATGGTAATTTAAATCTAATCCTACGAGTCCTGCAAATCCATTAACTACCATGAATAATTCACCAGTGATAACGGTTTTGTACTGCAAGGGTTTTGCATTGGAATAACGCTAGAATAATTTAACATGTTTCTACTACATACATAGGAACAATGCAGACATTAGATGCAAGGCATATAGAACTATTCCTCTGCGAAGGTTACAAAAGTGGTAGCTGGGATTACGACCTTGTAGGATGTCATGATCTCAAGAAGCGAGCAGATGGGGCAACTGGCTCCATTTTTGATGTCAAACACCTGGAGAGTTCTTCTACATCTGGTAAATTCTTATACTTCGGACCAACTTACCAAAAGTCCTTAGCTTCGTTAATGTTTTTCTTAAAGAACTAAGATAAACCACCCATCTAATGTTATGCCAAAGCATTAAGAGGTCACATTTTTTCTAGAAAATTAGAGACATAGATATATGCAAATTTTTAACTAGTTTTAGTTACTGTTAAACAGATTTAATTCCAATGAAGAATGAATAGATAGATAATCTACAAACATATTAATTTCAATGATAACTTATGCTTCAGAAGAATTATTTTGGTGTGGTGCATAAGTATTTAAGTTACTTTGGGCTCTATCTTAACCCTTTTTATTGCTTATCATTCAAAGTAGAAAGTTAGAAAGTCCTGGCATTAACACATCACACTGATATGATTTAATTTTAAAATTGAGTTGCAGCAGTATTTGATTACAAGTCATGGATCGGGAAACATAATGACTGGCAACCCAAGGCCATGATTGCTTTCCACGCAGTAGCTGTGAACACTAATTTACAAGAAAATGAAGGTAAGAAACTTTCTTCTTTACAGCTTTCACGTCTCTGAATTAATTACTGAAGTAAATCTCAAAAGGCTTAAAATCCCAAATTTCTTATTTGGTTTTTCATGATATTCCATTTTATTTTCAATACAAGCAGGTCTTCATGTGAAGTACCAAGCTATGAGGGCAGGACCTGGTGGAGAAGTTGTTTCCATTAGAATCTCTCAGCAGCTTTTGTGACTCATCTCAAACCTGCCTGCTGGGGTTGGGTAGTTCATCGCTAGCCTTTAAAATGCTTTATGACGTTATTATACCGAACTAGATACTCTTACAACTGAAAATAAATATTGTACACCCAGTCATTAATTTCTCACTTGTAGCTAATGGTTTAAACACTGAAAGACCATTTAGAATATTATTTCCAAATGAAAAGTTGGAAAATAGTAGTGGAAAGGGAACACGTTCTTTTGTATGAGAGATAGAAAATTTCCCAGTAGAACTCCATACATCTACCTTCCCAAAATTGAATTGTTTGTTCAGGCCTATATTAAATTCAAATTAAAGAAAGTTGAATATTACTTATGATCATTTTCAATGGTAAATAATCAATACATTTAAACGCATATATCAGTATAGAATATTATTTGACTTTCTATTCTGAGTTGAAAATTGAATGGTATTTAAAATTGAAATACAGCATCAACTCTCATCATCCTATAAAGATGCTTCCTACAACAGATTTGCACATTTGAGAAGTAATGGCTATCTTGAAGTTCCTTTTTTACTTAATCTTTCCTGTCATACATGCCGCCTTTAATGATTGCCCATTTTCCTTATGCGGAAACTTTAGTTTACCTATTCGTTTCCCCTTTCAACTCGAAGGTGAGCAATCTCCTTATTGTGGCTATCCTGGTTTCAACTTAATTTGTTCAAATCATAGAAAAACAGTTATAGAACTTCCTTATTCTGGAGAATTCTATGTTCGCAACATAGACTATCTCACACAACAGATACGACTCTATGATCCTGATGATTGTCTTCCCAAACGTCTTCTAAACCTCAATTTTTCAAATTCTCCTTTCATTTCTACTTTTAGTCGCGACTACACCTTTTTAAGCTGCTCATCTCAGAATATAGGCTCGCAATTCATCCCCATTGATTGTCTTAGTAATTCCACGTATTTTGTATCGGCCATTCCTTCGGTGAACTTGGTCAATCCACTTCCTAGTTCTTGCTCTGTTATCAAAAGGCTTTTAGTTCCGGTTGCAAGACAAGAACGGTATGAAGAAAATAAAAGATATGATCTTAGTGCAGATCTTCAATTAACATGGGATAAACCTGACTGCAGTTATTGTGAATTGAATCAGCTAATGTGTGGATTTGAAAGCATTTATAACAGTAAAGTTGTCTGTATCTCTGATCACCAAGCAGGTAAAAATGTTCTATGATCTTCAATATGCAATTCTATTCTATTAGGTTTATTATTGTATCTAGAAACTAGTTGACCAAAAATATTTGATGATAAATAAAAACATGTTTGAAGAGTTTTAAGAAAAAATAAACTAACTTAGGGATGATTGTCTTTCTTACGTGCTCCACATCCTGAGGTTACAAGGAATTACTAGAAAAATACTGGTCAACGGTTTTACCTCAGCAATTGCTAACTTTCGTTTTTGTTTATAATTTAATCCTATTGACTTCATGATTCTATTTGCATATTGGCAATTAATAAATGCAACGTTGGCAATTGAATTAAAAAAAAATACAACTTGAGGACAACTTGCTCAACAAACTAATGGTTCGTGAACTTGTATTTTAGAAAAATACTAAATAAAAAAATTAAATATTTTGGGGTGATGGCTTGAAGAAAAAAATTTATTGTGAAATAATTGAATTTTTGTAACACAAATGCGCGATTGTATCATTAATCACCGATATTCAAGACATTAACCACTAACATGTACTGATATTTTCTAGCTTCACTTTTAAGGTAAATCGGGACAAGGACTTAAAGTTTTCAGAATCATAGCACTATGTGTTACTGGACCAGCTCTAATCTTTGTTATATTAATGGCAAGTTGTGTATGCTACAATGACAGAATAGCAAACATTACCAGAAACGCAGCTTCTCGGTCTGCACCAGCTGCAATAGCACCACAGCCTGAAATCATAGTAACTACAGGTCTAGATGAAACCACTATTGAATCTTATGAGAAAGTAGTTCTTGGGGAGAGTCGACGTGTTCCTGGACCGAACGATGGATGTTGTTGGATATGCTTGTCAGAGTACAATAGTAAGGAGACGGTAAGATGCATCCCTGAATGCAAACATTGTTTCCATGCTGATTGCATTGATGAGTGGCTTCGTATTAATATTACGTGCCCTGTTTGTCGCAATTCTCCAGCTCCTTCTCCTCTAAATGTTGCTTCTAGAAATCTTTGAGTGATCATGGACCATGAAAATCATGTATTTTGAAGTTAATAGTGTGTAAATGTGTATATATTTATAAATCATTCATGATATTTGAATGAGATGACACAAACCATGTTTGCAAGAAAACATAATTCAGACTTGATTAAATATTTTCTTCTTATATTACAAATACAATCAAACTTCCAACAATCTTCTGTACATGTCGAATCATTTACCATTTAGTATAAGGGCCTGAAAATTACATTAACTAATAAATGAAAGTAAAAAAGTTTTAACTATTTCTGTAACAAAATTCTTGGCTTATACATTCACCGATGGTTAGCCTGGCAGGACAAGAAACTCTCCATTTTAAACTACGATGATGCTGATTAGTCTGTAGATCATCATCTAGAAACACGACTGAGAATAGGGCGTATTGCGGCTTTGAAATCATCGGAAAACTTCTGCTCAGAAAACCTACTTGCTCGTTTCCTTGCAGCAGCGGCCATCTGAAGTCTCTCAGTCTCTGACATCTTAATGACTCTAAAAATTGCGTCTGCATATTCTTCAATGGAGCAGGCGAGAAATCCTGTTTGTTGTCCATCTTCTTCCAATACAATGTCCATTTTTGGGCCAGCTGAATTATGAGCTGACAAGCAAACAAACAACGCAAGAATAATCAATAAACGTAAACGCATTGTAGGATATAGAGAAAATAAAGTATATTTACGTAAAGGTTTAATTCCTATCACCTACCAATTGGGATGGCACCGGCAGCCATATATTCTACAACACTAATCCCAAAATGCTCATCTGTCATGGAATGGATGCCACCAACAGCGCCGGCTAAAAGTCCCACCAAATCTCTGTCGGTTGAGACAATGTTCAAAATTCAAAAGTGAAAGTAAGAAAGCATACTCGTGAATTAAAGAGAAAAAACCCGCTGGTACTAACCTGTATGTTACGTTTTTGTGGAATTCCACTTGTTCATTCACATTCAGCTCAATTGCTTTCTCTTTTAACATTTGAAGTCTATCTTCATCTGATCTATTTCTACAGCTTCCGACAAACTGGAGCTTAGGTTTCGGCAAGCCAGAATCTAATCTCTTAACGGCAACTGAGAAGGCCTCAAGTTGGAGACTGTGAGCCTACAATAAATCGAATCATGTAAAGTTAATGTAATCAACATAGGCCGAAATATGCCACCAAAATGGTTGTAACTTCCAATCACAAGTTGATAGGAGTATGCCTACCTTCTCTGGTCGAAATTGTGCAACAGATATTATTACAGGAATTTCAGCCGATCTTTCCAAAGGAAGCACCTGCCATATTGCTAATCTGTTAGAATCAACTGGTAACTACCATACAAGGTAATGCTCGTGTGTATTTATGTGCGTGTGTGCATATGATAGAGACCAATTGAACCGTAACCGAAATTAGAGAGATATTCGATGAAAAGAAACTCAAAAACAATTGCAATTTAGATAAACAAAACTTTATTGATATTAGACAGATAATAGTAGTAGAGAATTTCTCTAACTACTCCCAGAACAATATAAAACAAATTTTCAAACCTGAAGTCCTGAAGTATCACAAGGAGGATAAACTCGCTTAATCCGATCTGGAACTCCCCAAAGATTTTCAATATGGGCTTTGGTCCAAGATGAATTCACCATAGCTAGATGTGCGCAAGATCCAACAATCCCATACAACCAGCTGAAGATTGTGTAATAGATTATTTTGCACCGAGAAAGCCAAACACTGCCAGAAAACAACTGTCCGATTATTTAAACAATCTGGATAAGCTATAATATTAAAATTAATATTCACAGACTATCAAAAATTTATAAATTGAATTAGATGAGAGAAAAACCATTAAAAAATCCAAGGACTGAAAATCAAACCTTTTGGCAACCAAGGCATCATTATTATACATGGAGCTGCGTTGACGAACACGAGATAGCATGTCTGAACTGATAGTAGGGTAGTGTGTATAGCAAATGACTTTGCATCCAAACAACCTAGCAAGTGGATATGTAAAAGCATATCCACTTGTATCAAAATAATAGGAAGGGGTAAGCTTGCACAAAGCTTCCCATGCAAGATACATAGAGCCTAGACTTTGACCAATCATAGTAAAGTGTGGATAAGTCGTTTCTTCAATCCACTTCCTCTTGTACAAATGAACCACCTGTGAATTTTGTTGTGTGGATAACAAAAAGACACGGGTTATTACGATTTTTCAGTGCAACAAGTGCCTAAATAAGAGCTCTTTAACATTTCAACAATGTCCATTTACTTTGTATAAGCAAGTAAAAAAGCCCAATTTTATCTTTCTTCCATGACTAATTAACATCTTCAACAATAACCACGATTGAGTTATACCCTAGCACGTGCTAAATATGCCAATAGGAACCGTTTGAATTGGTTGGACTTATTTGAGTTTATCTACTGACATAAACACTTGTGAGACTAATTGAGAAAGTTTATGAAAACAGGTCCATAAGCTCTCAATGATAGCTAATAAAAACAACTTATAGCTTATATGTAAACAAATTGACTTTATCTTATCTTTTGCTATAGAAAAGCTTATAAATAAGCACTTATATCAGTCAGTATTCTAACATATTCCATTCCTTCTATGAATCCCCTGGTCATCACTACAATATGAGAGTTACAAAAGAACAATCTTTCCCTTTAGGCAAATGGTGATAAGCCATAATCAGCAATGAGAACTAAACGTTAACCGAACCACAAAACCGGCTTATAAGATGACACAATATAATCTTCACAACTAACTGCATTTGCCCACATAGTTAACAGTGTAACCAAAACCGCAATTTGTAACCCTTCATCCAATATGACTCAATAAAAATAAACAAAAACCCACTTAGCGTGTCTGGTTCTGCAGTGAAGACAGTTGATTTTGAATGAATTGTTTCTGTAAAAGTGATTCTGGCTAAAAGTGAGTAGAAGATATATTAATTTATGTTTGGATAAATTCTTGCAAAAGTGAGTTGAAGAGTAAATTTCACCGTAAATATCACATTTAGACTCAAAAGCTACAAATCATAGCTTCAAGTAGAATCAATTAGACTCAAAATCTATAAATCCTAACTTCAAGTAGAATCAATTCTACTCAAGGGCAACCAAATATATCAAAAACAATTTTCCACATCCAGAATCAATTATGCATGTTCCAAACGTGAAACCAAACATATACTAAAGCTAATCAACAGTGTCCGATTTCATGATCACACAAAATGGTAACAACCCAATAAGCATTACATGAATCAAAATCGTTACAAAACCAAAAAGGAGGAAACTTTACAAAACCCCAATTGCAATAAGGAAAAACAACACAAAACCCATATGACAGAATTCAGAAAAAATAACTACCTTAGGAGGGGATAAAAGGGTAACACCAAATCGATCAAGTGCACGATTGGACAACGACTGAGGTGTAGCATCGTGATCGCCTGTATAGACAAGACATTGAAGGTCAGGATTTTCTTCCTGGATAGCTTTGACGGCGCACCATAGAACCCTTTCTCCTCCGCCGCCGTCGTTGGTGTATGGATGGAAGAATCCGACGGCGGTTTTCCTGTTTTGTGTAGCGTTGATTGCGGAAAAACAGAGTTTGAGTATTTTGGTAGTGAGGAGTGTGAGTGAGAAGATGATGATGAGTTGTATGGGTGTCATTGTTGATCCACGGAGGTTGAAATTTACAGGTTTGTGTTGGAGTAGCGCTAGTTTGAGAAACAAGTTAAATACTATTTTCTTATGCCAACCAAACAATGCTATCTATTTTTCCTTTTTTTTTTATAAGTAATGTTATACGGTACAAAACATTAAAGAAAAAAAGGTAAATTACATTAGGAGTCTTAAAATATTTTTTTAAAAGTTTAGTCCTTTTAATTTTTTTTAACAATTTAGTCTTTTAAGTTACATTTTAAACATTTAGAAATATTGATTGTTATATTTTTTATTGCACTTCATTCTTTTTATACCATTCAAAATAATTGTATCCACGATTAATATATTTTCTCTGTTAAATAAGAGTAACAACACATATATTTGATAATTTAAAGGACTTACTTGTTGCAAAAAAAACTTAAAGAATCAACATATTACAAATAAACAATTTAAAGGACTTCTTGTATATTTTTGTCTAAAAACAAACAAGAATAAACATAATTTTGTAATCAACATATTACAAATAAACAATTTAAAGGACTTCTTGTATTTTTTTGTCTAAAAACAAACAAGAATAAACATAATTTTGTTACACTTGAATTTTCAGCTAGAAGAAAATTAATAGAGAATGTCAATTGAAAAGATATTTTTTATTAAAAAGATATTAATGAAGTGTTTTAAAATTATTAATGATGAAACGTCGACAAAGCATTAATGAAGGTGTCAACAAAAGAAGACGTGGTTTGGAGGAGTTTCAAGAACAGATCTACAAGATTAGGATCATCTGGAAGCAGGTCCATAATCTTGAAAAGGGCAGTCGAGAGGACCTCACTACACCAAATGCACCAGTCGACTAAATCACAAAAGGTTAAAGACTTAGTATTTTTACCAGTTCAAAATTCTCTATAAGCGACGTCGACAACACGTTGAGCAATTACTATTAAAAGTTCGTGGGGAATTTCGAAGCGGTTGTGAACAGAAGGAATTATGGGTGTCACGTAGGCACACTAATGGGACCTAAAGATCAAACGTGGAGTAAAATGCACTAGTTTCGTAGTAGGTGTAACCGTCGTTGACGGTTATTTTATAAATAACATAAATAGCAGACTCATACATTACATCAGGGATCACAAAATTTCATACATACTCTTCATACCACTTGGTTATCTGAGTCAAAGAGAGAAATAGTGTGTGAGAAACATGTATTTGTTTGAATCCATTGTTTTCATTATTTTCTTGTTTCCTTAAATGCAACATTTATTTTCTGTTACTTTCGCCTTCACTCTTATTTGATGTAATTTACTGCATTCATCTTTGTCATTTATTACAACTTACTTCATTTAAAGTTTGTTTCTACACCATTATCATGAAAACGACAATTGCATTCAATTCACACGCATGTGTGTTTACACAAACCATTTACACAAATTGGACGGTTTTTTAGATAAAACTTATGAGTTTTTGAGGGTTTATGTTTTTGAGGAGTGGTAAGAAAATTCCCGAAATGTCTCGTAAATATAAATCCCCTTCTCAAGGCCATGCTCCAAACTTCGGAGATCAATCAATAACGACGAGTGTCACTAGTTCTGGGGTTCTAGCTTCTGCTGAAGATATACCCACTGTCATCAGGCAAATCATATCATCGATTGTACCTCCATATGTAGTGGAGGCGTCGACACTCAATCTAGGAGACTAAGGGCCTCATTACCTAAGTTTCATGTTGCCTCAGAAAGAGCAGTCTTACGGTATGTTAACCACAATAATGGAATACATACATCTTAGTGTGTTAGTATACTCAGAAAATTTGATGGCTACATCGTCCCCCTTTAATCTATATTGGGCAACATGGTCCACTATGGCCAACTTTTATTGAGCGGGACAACCACTAGGAGGTATGGGATACTTTCCTCCAATTATGTCGCCTCTGATCAACAACTCTGTCCAAGTCACGAGACAACGAATGGTTGACTTTTTTGGTGCACCACCAGTGCCAATGACCATATCACCTAACAATCCCAAGGGTTAACCCTCCAGAAGTTAGGGTTGTTGAGAACAACTAGGAGCCAAATGGCCCAAATGTGGTACTGGCTCAACGAGACTAAGATGCAGATCAAGTTCTCTGACAAGTCCTACAAGATAATCTTGGGGAGAGGGGGGGAATAATATCACCAATGTGGTCGAACAAATTCTGGCCCAGAATGGCCTTGATATCAGAAACCCCAAGCCAAATTTTGTGTCGCCATTGTCGAAATACATGAGGCAAAACCTGTAACATCCCATTTCTACCCGGCGAATATTATTAAAATCAGAGTTAGAAATTTTCCAACAAATAAATAGGATGCTACACTTACAACTTATAACAACAATATTTAATCGCATCTAACATATACACCTAACACTTAAAACATCAGATGAACAGATAACAACAATTTTAGTCTTTAAAACGAAACAACTTTATTACTTAAGCAGCGAAACACAATTTTCAACTCAAATGACATAAAATCTTTGTCCAACTGAAAAACTTTAGAAACAACAAAGTACTTAACGAAATCAACTTAAAAATTCATCAACAGAAGTAAAATCAATAATAAAGCAACAAGCGTTCATCCTCCCGAGTGTTACGTATCAGAGTGACGACACTGACTCGAACTACTGAAGGTAAATACCCTTCATTTTAGATTACCTACACGTTATCAACATAGGAGTAACATTCAAACAAAAGGGGTGAGATATCAACCAATATAATAGAATGTATGATGAATAATATATTAGAATCAATTCATATAACAATCACCACTTCATAGCTTTTTAACAACATTCAACACAACTAATTCTTCCATACAACAATTCAGGATGCAATATGAAACGCGACTTGATTTTTATGCACATGCATGGGGTACCAACGGAGCAAAACTCCCAACTTAATAATTTTTTAACTAATAGAGACATCAACAAGGCATAAGCCTTCAACTTTAGATTTTTCCAATTCAGACCAACTTAACGAGCATTAGCTCCAACTTGATATGTGATGTATGCGACACAACATGAATGTAGTAACAACAACAAAAAACAACAACTCAACATAAATCAACATTGGCCATAAGCCTACAACATCAACAATAATTCAACATCAACTCAACATAAATCAATATTGGCCATAATCCTATAACATCAACAACAAGTCAACATCAACTCGACACAATTCAACATTGGCCATAAGCCTATAACATCAACAACATCGGTATATCCTACAACTTCGCATCATCAACAATATTGACATTACAACAACATATTAAAATTCACAAATACAATTGAAACCCATTGTAATAACACTACATAATTATTTAGCTATACGTATATATTCGGCTATTATACGTTATGTGACAGTTCCTCTAATACTAACCTGTTGCAACTATTATATAAGCTAGTACTGCTATCAACAATTTCTACTACTGCTAGTGCTACTAATTAATTCTCTATTATTGTTTTATTGCTAATAGCTTTCTGTCACCATTTCATAATTAACTCCTACTATCAACTTATTCCTGCTACACGTACTATGCTTTTATATTGTTAATAGTTTTTCGATAAGGTTACCGTAATTACATCTTACTACTATTAATTATCTCCTACTACCATGAATTATCTTTGCTATTATTTTACTGTTAATAGCCTACAACTTGGTTTTAGCCAAACAATACAGGAAACACAACAAAATTCATCACTACCTGTAACTTCAACAATTAATAACAACCTCATCACATCAACTTAATAATTGTCCCTGCTAAGCATTTCGTCTCTGTCATCTATTAATCCTACCTGCTACATATGTTAAGCTACAATTTGTTTACCTTTAACTCTAATAAAGTAAGAACTAATAAAGTAACAGGTCCAGGGACAAACAAAACAACTGAAAAATAGAGTCTTAGGGACGTTCCCCTCGTCACATCTAGAGTGCCAAAAGGCCGTGCCGCTCGGCACACTCCTCTTCAAACCATGACGGTTGGCATGCTCGTGTGCCCTTCGGCACAGAGTGTTCTCACGCAGTTTCTTCTCAGGCTTACTGATTTAACACAGAATTCTCCAAAACTTCCTTCAATTAACAGTATATTCACAACAACATGATACAACGCAGTATTACATCGACATGGAAACTTAACATCAATTATAGATAAAATTTAACACAGACTGTTATTATCAATAACATTGCATACCAATTCAACATCAATTCAGGAATACAGGAACACGGTTATGCGTACAACAATTACACCAACCCAATTCATACATACTATTTGTCATAATTCCCGTTATAGAGTCAGAACCCCATCTTTAACTTGGATTGAAGGTCGCTCTATAATCATCCGATCGAACATAGCTTTGCCTCTTTTCCTTGTTCCTCTTCTCTGCCACTTCCTACGTTACTGCTCCAAGACTTCTCTTAATATTTCTAATTAACCTAATTCTTATATCAACTTAACCTTATAATAATATACCTAATGGGCTCAACTTATACACCCCCACCTTACTACATACCACCATATAAATAAGCCCAACAACTTATCTTATATTATTCTAATATTATTGCTAATATTAATCAACTAAAATAATCAACCAAATAACAACTTAGAAACATATAACAATGCTTCACACATTCCAACAAATAATTTGAAAATGATTTAATTAAATAATTAACTAAATTAACGGGCGTTACAAAACCAAATTTCCCAAGGATTGGAAAGCCCCGAAATTTTCCAAGTTTAATGGTGATGCCAATGAATCCACCGTCGAACACATAGCCAAGTATCAAACCGAGGGTGGTGATTTAGCCAACAATGAGAATTCGAAAATAAAGTATTTTCCTACCTCGTTAACAAAGAATGCCTTTACATGGTTTACCACTCTTCCTCCTAATTCTATCTTCAATTGGAACCAACTGGAGAAAGTATTCCATAAATAGTTCTATATGGGATAGTCGAAGATTAGTCTCAAAGAACTGGCCAATGTAA